CCTGCCACTCCCATGCCCCCCTGCTCCAGCTTGTCCTAGCCAGCCCCAATCCCTCCTTCCGCCATGCCCCTTCTTTCTCCCCTCTGCCTACCACAACACACTTACCAGCTGGAGGCAGGTGTGTTCAGTGTGGTGAGGACTGCTGCCTGTTAAGTCTATGGTGGAATCCCTGAAGCAGTGCCAAATCATTTCTGAATTGATTTGGAGGCTTCTGATTCAATTTGGACCCTTTAATTGGTCTCCTGATTTGATTTGGAAATTTGGCCACCAAATTGGACCGAATCTCCTCTGAATCAAATCAGCTACTGAAGCTTTGCACAGCCCTACTGTTAGCCTTCTTTGAAACAAGGGCCCACTATTGACTCATATTCAGCTTATTGTCCACTATAACCCCCAGGTTCTTTGCTGCAGAGAAGTCAGACTGGTGGGACAGTGGAACGTGCCATGGTGGGGGAGGCTTGCAGCCTTCCCTGTTACTGGCAGGAGTGTCCGGCCAGCTGCAAGCCCTGCCTTCCCCTTTTTGGCTGGCTCTAAACCACCCCACCTGCCCCTCTCCCATGGGATGCTCCACTGCCCCACCAATCTTGAGTTCACCAGCCATGCCTGGTCCCCAACCTGTATCAGTGCATGGGATTGTTCTGTCCTAAGTGCAGGACTATGCAGTTTTCCTTATTGAATTTCATGAGATTTCTTTTGGTCCTGTCCTCCAATTTGTCTACTTCCTAGTCTTCCTGCACATCAGGATGGTTTTAGGATGGTTCTTTCACTTTTCATATTTTTGATATTTTGCATTTTACTCAGTCTAAAGTAAATAGAGCTTATGGTTTTGCTGAGAAACAATAAAGAAATGTATGCTTTATTCTGTGTTATTTACTGAGAAAAAAGTTAAAATTGTTTCTGTATAAATATATCTTTGCTTATTTTCAGGTTGTGTACGATTCTAATACACTGTATATTTTTGCACCCAGTGCACAAAGTAGGGATCAATGGGTGAGCAATCTGAAAGAAGGTAATGAAGGTTGCTTAAAGATAATATTTGAAACAGAAGTGACACTTTAAAAAAATATATATTATGGACAATTTGGGGTGATAAGTGTGTTGGGCAATACCAGCTGGGTTCACATCACATACAACAACATTTTGCTTTCAATTGGACCATTGCCAAAATGAAATAACCTCATAAATTCCACTGGAATTGTTCTCAGCTTAAACAGCATAATAGAAAACAGAATTTGGCCTTATGATATTGTGCAAGTTGTTAAGTTATTAGAGAATATTATATATGTTAGTTAATGCTCTTGATCATCTATTTAACACACATTTATGCTTAAATATTATTGTAAAATATATTTATATTAAAATATTACTGTGAAATATGGGTCTAATTTTTCTCTGGTTACCCAATTACTCCTGCTTTATCTGTGGGAGGTTAGGGTGCTATGCCTTGTGGTTATGTGACAGGTTGCTGTGTAGTTTTAGTAATAGATTATACAAGGGTTTGTATAGGATGGTTTGGCTAGGGATGATCCTGCCTCAGGCTGGGGGCTGTACTAGATGACCTTTGGAGGCCTCTTCCAGTTCTACTTTTCTGTGATATCCTTCACTGGGGGTGTGAAGGGATGGAGACATAGGATCTAGCTCTACTAGTTTTGTGCCTGTTGGATTTTTTCCCATTTTAAGGGGTATCCCATATGGGAATTTTTGTTGTACAAATTGTGTGACCATGTGACTACACATTATCTGATGAAGTGAGCTCCAGCCCATGAAAGCTTGTGCTCTGTATATATCTTGGTTAGTTAGCCTATATCAGTGCATATCTATGTGCCTTCTCAATATAACTACATTCACCTAGGGCTCAGTCATACTTGTAAAGTGTAGCCAGCCTTGAACTGGGGGCAGTGTGAAACAATTGGGCTAGATGAAGCAGAATGACTAATGAGGTTCCCAAGTACATAAAGGCAGAGTACTTGCTGGTGCCCACCAAACTCCTTTGGGAGTAGCTGTAAGCTCCTACCTATTTAGGTGCTCAGTAGGGTTGCAGCACTATTAGCCCACCTTATCCCTGCCTCTCTGGGGGTATTGGACATCCTTATGAAGGAACAGCCCTTGTGCTAACCTGAGCAGTAAGACTTCAGTTGTACCTTAATTTTATACATATACAATCTGGCCCTTAGTTTGACCATAGCATATGCCAAATTATCCAAGGCAGACCATGCACTCTGTAATCGCATATTTCAGGTATAGTACAGCATACAGATATATATAGGAGTGTTTATAAAAGATAATGAAAAATTAGCCTCTGCAGAATGTTTCAAAAGGTCTTCACTGCTGTAGACATCATTCCCATTGTCTCTGCTAAAGCAGGCACAAGTTGGAAGGTCACTTTTTCTTTTAGGAACTTTTTCTAAAATAAAACAGCTGTTTATAGTACAAGTAAATAGTTTATAGTACAGTACAGCACAGTTTATAGTACCGTACAACTTTGTAGTTTAAAGCTGTTTATAGTTAGTACAAGTAAAGGTTCAGATTGAGTTCAATAAAGTTGGTCCCTCTGAGAACAAAGAGGATATAATCCTTGTTGGTCTTTCTCCTCACTTGCCTGTTAAATTTATGTTTCTGGAATGGAGGTCTTCAGATGTAAGGTCTTCAGAAACTGCACAACTATACTGTGACTAGATAAATCATTTAGTTATATTGCCTTTTTCTCATGTCATGCGATTTTATGATATGCTACACTATGATGCTTATCATAATTAAAGCTATCCTGGAATTACTGGCATTATGGTAGCACCCAGCAACCTAAATCCTAGAGTAGGATATCATTGCACAGTACAAACATAAATACCTGCTACCAAGGCTAAGTACAGACAGTCAGAAAGCCCGGGGCTGAATTGATTCAGTCTTTGCAAGTTAGTCTACACTGCAGAGATTAAACTGAGAAACAACTGGACATACAGTCACTTTTGATTCAGAAAATGCAGCCATATGCCTGCAGTGGCTCAGGCCAGAAGCTGGAGGGTGCTACAGCACAGCTCTCTGGAATACAGCCAACTTTCTGCTGCTTCTGCTACTTCGTGCTGCCCCCAAGGTCTCTGGGATTTGCAGTCTAGATTAACAGTAGCAGAACTTTGCATGGTTGCTCATCACTTCCTCTTCCTGCTTCTAGGTGCCTCTGGGATTCGTAGTCCATAGTTGCAAGCTAGCAGTAAATTTTTAGCAGAGCAGGGCAGCTGGGTACTTGGGAGAAGGGAAATTTAACCCCTTCCCTGGTCCCAGATCCCAGCTGGGGTTTGCCTGTGGAGGGGCAGTCCCCCCCTCCCCCCTCAACTTTCCCCTTCTTTCCTGGAGCAGACAGCACAGCTCAGGGCTGTAAAGCATGCTGGGAAGCTGGGAGATTCTGATTTAACTTGAACCAGGAAGGGATCTGGGATGGAAGTTTGACCCAAATCAGTTAAGTCTGATACTACATTCAACCAGGTTTATCTTAAACATTAAACCAGGTTCAGCCATTTTGAAACTGGTTTATGTGCACTGAACTTCTGTTCTGGTATAGGTTTAAACCAGTGTCTGATGACTTAAGCAGTTTAGGTGTAACTTCTGTCCCTATCCCGAGTTCACAAACCAAGTGTTCTCTCCTAAAATTCAAGACTTTGTTATCCAACTCCACTGAAGTTGTTAATTGTTAAGCATACAATTTGCTATAACAACCTTGCCTCCTAAAAGTGTTCTTGAGTGCTGTATTATCCTAAGGAAGTTCTCTCTTTTCACTGTATGACATTCATGTTAACACATAATGCATACTTGAAGAATAGTTATACTAGTTTAAGTAACAAAAAAGTTATTGTTATGTCCCATATTAATAGTATTACAGTACTATGTATTAATAATATGAAATCATTCTTATGAAAAGGTTTGGTACTTTAAATTATATACCATTTACTTTTTGTAGAAATAAAGAACAACAACAACATAATGGTAAAGTATCATCCTAAATTCTGGACAGAGGGGAT